CCAATTACTATTAGTTATTGTCCGTAGACAATTATCACAGTATTTCTAAATATAGTTTCTTCTCACCTTTCCCAATTTGAACATTTTCATTAATGACTCACAAAACGTTCGATGGATTGGGTTATAATCGAAAAAATCATGCAATTGATATATGGGAACATTGACACTTAAAAAATCGAAGTAGTATCATATGTTGAATGTTTGAATATCAACCAGACAATCGCCATGTCTGCAAAGAATCCTTATGAATAACAAATATATATATAAAAAAACTTCAATTAAATATGTTATTAATTTTCTTTGTCACAAGTTTTGTTTAACGTTCTGTAACTTGTTTTTATTTTTGCACTATCTAATATTCGAAAATGAGCCAAAATGATAATTTTGCGGGCTCCATATTTAGCCAATTTCAGGTCTTCTGACCTTGGCTCAAAGAGTTATGGAAACAATGGATACATATGCTATTATTTTAGCGGGATGCATTTTGCAGAACCCAACAGAAGAAACACATTTTTCCTACTAATTTTGAGTCTTTAAAACTGACAAATAATACTGATTTTTTTTTACGTAGACTCAAGAACTGTTCATCTAGAGCCTATATTATACCATACTTTAGTTATCATTCAAAGATGTACATTTGAACTCTATGATTAAAAGGCACGTTTACAGCAGATATGAAACAATATAAATTTTAATATAAATATACAATCGATTGATATTCCCTATTTTAAGACACTTATATATATTTTACTTATTGTCACTTACTCAAAACACATAAACGAAAATGCGTTGATTTTTGGCACCTTTGTTTTTTTAGTCTGTCGAACTATTGATAGCCACATCAAGTCGGGGATTCAGAATATAAGACTCTTTCATGCACAGGGTGTAGGATAAGGAAATTCCACCCGAGGGGTTTTCAAATTTGGTAAAACCCAAGGCTTTGACGAGGGTTTTGCCAAATGTGAAAATCCCACGGATGTAATTTCCTTATCCTACACCCTTGGGCATGAACGAGTATTTTTCTCTCATTCCAATCAACATCATAAGCTCAAAAACCATGAAAATGTGTTTGGACTGGTCACCAATTTGAAAATATCAATTTTCCCCCTGAGCTTTTAAGACGGAAATGAATTAACCAGCCAGATTTAGCATATCCCATATTTGCAAACAATGTTTGCGCAGAAAAAATAATCACATCGCATCGGAGAGTTCAAAATTTGTGACGTCCCGTCATTGTTGGGCTATTGTGACGTCACGTCACGTGAAATGAGGTGTAAGATAGAAATTTCCTACACAATTTTCTTACCCTGGACAGCTCTATCTTACACACAGGGAAATGAGAGAATAGTATGTACCTGCTATTACCTACTGCATATTGTGTTCGACACCTAATGAGTGAACCCTCTGCAGGGTGGTGCAGTGGATAGGGCACTTGCTTTTCACCAAGACGGCCGTGGTTCGATTCACCGATCGAACGTGAAAAGGTTGGGGTCACCAGCCCGACCATGTTGGTTTTCTCCGGGTACCCCCGTTTCCTCCCACACTAAGACCCCCACCCCCCCCCCCCCCCCCTCCCCAAGCGCTAATATCCGGGCCAACAAGAGAAAGTAATATCAGTTGAAATAACTTGTTTCATAATTGTTTTAAAATAAAGTTTATATTTATATAACCCCCTGCAGGATTGGGGATTTGCTTTTGTGCCCTTCAAAAATGGCCAAAGTAAATTAACTGCACCCATTGTGATGTTTTGGATAGTTCTAATTTTTCTTTCTTTCCTAATAATTATTTTCTTTCATGGCGCCTTCTCCGGAAATGCCCATCGAGTGTTAAACGTTCGCCAAAGAAAAAGTTGGTTACGAAAAACAAACGTGAACTAAATGAAATATAATAAAGGGTGGTCGGGTGGTGCAGTGGATAGAGCAGTTGCCTTTAACCAAGGCGGCCGGGGTTCGATTTCCCGATTGGACGTAAACAGGTTGGGGTCACCTGCCCGATCACGTGGGTTTTCTCCGGGTACCCCGGTTTCCTCCCACACTAAGATCCCCCACGCGCTAACATCCGGGCCAACAAGAGTGATTAATATAAGTTGAAATAACTTGTTTCATAATTGTAGTAAAATATAAAGTTTATATTTATATAACCCCCTGCAGAATTGGGGATTTGCTTCTGTGCCCTTCATGTTGGCCAAAAATGGCCAAAGTAAATTATCTGCACCCATTGTGATATTTTGGATAGTTCTACTTTCTCTTTCCTTCCTAACAATTATTTTCTTTCCTGGCGCCTTCCTCGGAAATGCCCATCGTGTTCGCCAAAGAAAAAGTTGGTTACGAAAAACAAACGTGAACTAAATATGTAATTACACTGAGCAATGAAATATAATATAGATATAGATATATTTGTCTTCCAAACATAACTAATTCGTTATCATGTGAATATCAACCCGAACAAACTTCCCCTAATTAGAATGAGTGTATCACAGTACGTGAATTTGTGTCCTTAAAAACCTGAGTTCTTTATTAGCTATTTGTCACATTCAGTGCTATTGTTATATTCAGTCGTAAGAGAAGAGAGAGCTTCTTTTATCATATTATATTCTAGAGAGAAGAAAGTATCAAGATGGAACGGAAACAAGCTAAAGGAAACCGAAAATTTGAAAAATGGTACTGCAACGTAACGTCTATTCAATTAGTCACAGGAAGAGCATGTGATAAATGTTCTTTTTAAAACAAAACGGTAATGATGACATCATAACAACAGGGTATTCATTTCCTAAAAACATCTACTAGAAAAGGATCAGTTGTTCCCTTTGTGAATCTATAGCGTTAACCGTTAAAATCGGAATTAAAGAAACCACTCTTGGGCAGTAGTCTCATACAACTGACGGTTACTCTATACATATTAAGTTTATACTATAATCAATGTAATGGAGAATATTAAATGTGGTCTGTTGAAAGAGGTCGTCACAAGAACAGATTTCCCTGTATATCGCTCCTGAAATAAATGAGTCGATGTTTTGCATATCAATTTAATGAAACGCCCACGATAAAAGTGTACAAAAGGTACGACAATATCGGTTGGTTTGGATTTTAAATCACGTGACAACTAGCGCTAACCAATCATCGCAATGATAATGACTGAGCGATACAGACAAGAAAAGGGTCAAAAGTTCTGTTCTGAGTAATAAAATATAGTCATCTAAGTTGTATCAACCTCATTGTTTTGACACTTTATTCACGCGCGACAGATACTTAAGGGAACCGAATTGACAAAGGAATCATTACATGATTTGGCTATGATCTACTGGCTGTCACGGCTGATGAAACATTACACCAAAGCGACTTGCCCGTATTGTCGATTTCGCGACATTTCCATATAAATCAAAGAATCACATTTAAGTGCTTGAACAAGACAGTGAGCTTGGACATTAAATTCTAGCCAAAGACATACGATGTCTGAAATAGACCATGGATATGTAAAAAAAAAAGGTCATTAAAATGTTCTCCCTTCGAACCAATGAACACTTCACGTGTCCTCAAATACCAAGGGTAAATTTGATCGCCTTTGATTTTGATGTAACCCCGTTGTATTCCAAACTTCAAAGGACATGTATCAGCCTAGAGATTGGTCAGGTTTTGTGCCTTTAACTATTTTCATGACATATTCCAAAAGCGGAGAGAAGAGGTAGAACAGTTATGTTTTGAAGAGGACCTTTACGTTAATAGCACTCGTATATCGTTATAGGTTCGATATTTACTACCATTTTACCTTGTACATTTTATAGATGTTATTCAGTTGGTGTATTATGCTGTTTTAACTATCCGTGATTAACGAGGAGAATACCACTACATTAAGCTACAAAAAGTGTTTTTAAAACACAATAACATTTAAGACGAACACCTACCATAATAGGAAATTATCAAAGATTCCAATGTGTTTATTATCAGTTAGTCTAAACTACATTAAAGACACTTTAAAACTACAAAAACGGGAGATTTGTGAAAATATTAAAACATTTCTATACAAATGATATTTCGTCGTAGAACAGCTGACACAAAAACATGTGTAGGCGTCGTTTTCATTGAATTATCTCCATAATAAAATAAGGAAAAATATATATATTTCCTAGCTCTTTGAAAAATATATGAAAAGAAGCTGAGACACTTGATTGTTTTGTGGTTTAGGACCAGGTGAAATAACCATAGAGTACGTATATTAAATTATATGTTCGGGATACCTAAACCTAAACAATACTTGCTGGTATCGGCTTAAGAGTAAGCAAATTCAAAAACAATTTACAAAAATACAGAAACAATATACAAAAATACTCATATGGTTTTGTAAAATGTAAACGACAAATTTAGCTCCAAATGATGCAGTTAAATGCTACAATACTAACGTTTTGACATAAATTATATGTGATGCGTAATAGCTGACGAGATAATTATTGTAAAAAACATTTAGATCACTGTTATCACAATACATCAATCCTTGAACCATAACAAAATCTAAACAGAAACTACTCCCTGTAATTGTGAAATTATTTTGTAAGCTTCAAATTAACATTGACTTTTCATGTTTCCGTAACGAAACTTACACAATACACACCAACAAACCCACACATACCATATATATAAACCTTTTTCTGATTATCACTAAAACATAAATAACAATGCAATACAGTACTGAACAGTAAACGCCAAATAAGCGAACCTATCGACAAACATCTCTGTAAAGGTGGATGTTTTTCACGGCGTGGAAATGTTTTTCGCATAACTATCCGCAAGCGAAAACCAATATTAAATTATTTTTTTATTCAGTTAATAGTTATGAAAATCTTTAATTTTAGAATCATTGCTTGCGCAAAAAAATCTACACCTAGATACATTTTAATAGTCGTATCGCGAACATTTCCATACGTAAAACAAAATCTACTATTACAATACAATCACATTGCAAAACATATCATATTCTTTATCTTGAATTTCCTATCCATACCTTTGTTATACCGACTGTGACGGTATATTTCGATTTGAATATAGCATATGAGTTTCACCCCCTCTTTGGGAGTCACTCGAACTCACGGAACACATATTTGAGCAAGCATTTGAGCATCCACGTCCATTGGTGAATTGCATCCTGTACCTCATCCTTCCTCGATCGTTACCAGGGGAAATGAGGTCATCGAATTCCATATCAAATGACCTTGAATTCACTGGATGACTTTGAACGGCGCAACAGCACTTCAGGATGTTTTTGAATTCTCTTTTGAAAATCGGATTCATCCAACAGTATAGAAAAGGATTAATACAGGTACTGCTAATCGCGACCCAATGACATATAAAAAACACGGTGCTGTTATACGCAAACTGTTTTACATCCGGATGAAGATCAGTAAGCAGGTGGTATAAATTGAGCGGCATCCAACACACGGCAAAAACAGCAACAACGGCAACTAACAGCTTTATACTTTTCCTTTTTTCCTGAATTTGTAAAACCCGCTGTTTTTCTGTAACCACTCCCAGCTGTGTACGAAGCCACAATTTATGCACAATTCGTCCATAAGTGACACCTATTATAGTGAGTGGTAACACATACTGTACCACCATTGTTCCAATGGTTACGCTTTGCTCCCACTTCACACTTGGGAAATTAGTACGACATCGCTTCACTGTAGTAACAAACAAGTTCAAGTCTTGTACTCTCGTGTATATTCCATAAGGTAAAGCCAGTGAGAATGCTAGTGACCAAATCAGTACAAGTATAAAAATCCCTTTCCGTCTGGTGATCCTTGGGTTCAGAGGATAAATCAAAACCCGTTGACGATCAAGTGCTATGGCAGTTAGAGTAAATGTTGATACATAAACTGATGTCATTAATGACAAATTCAACACGTGACATAAAAATGCTCCAAGAGTCCATTCCGACATAAGTTCCCGCGCAATATTCAATGGCACGTTCAAACATGTCATCAATAAATCTGAAAACGCCATATTGGCAATGAAAATATAGGTCACCGTGTGCATCTTCCGGTTTTTTACCACCACGTGAACCACTAACATATTTCCGAAAAAGGAAATGACAACAAGTATTGAAAAAGACACCAATAGCAGAGCAGTGCCGGAAGCGCCATATCTATGTTCTTTCAACTTTCTGAAATTGAAACTGCTGTGAGAGTGATTAGCCATATTAAAGATATCCAGCAAGGTATCATTTTCCATGTTATCGAATATATCCTGAAGGTAATCCGTGAAATCGCCCGTGCTATCCATTTTCCTCTGTTCTAATTAAAATATCGTGCCGGTTGTATGCAATAAAAACTCGGCTTCTGAAGTGTAGTTTGTTATATGAAAAGCGCGTGTATATTTCTAGTCATAATTACAATGAAATTGTATCAAGTCTATATAATCGGTTACCATCTTCTTGAAACATCAATCGAATTATTCATATTATCCTATTTAATCTTTTTTTCCGAAAAATTACGCTAAGAAAATGGTAATACATCTTTCTATATGAAAACGGAATCAAATATAAATCGTTTTCTCAATATATCGTTAAAGTTTCAACAAAAGGATGTTACACACTCACATATCAAACTGTTCCAAAGACACTGGAGAATGACAGTCGACACATGGTTCGTAAAATTATTACCGAAATATATCCTTGGAAATGTTAGAGAAAAGAAACCAATAACACGCGTGATCCTTTGTTGCTCTGTGCTCGTTAGCTGATAAATGTCTACTGGAAATACTACAGCCGTATTTCCGACAAAATAATAGTGTTTTCCGAGTTTTGCAGGAACGCTGACTCTTCAGACGACCTCCATACGGAATAACTGTTGATCAATGAATAATAGGACGGCTCCTTGTATGCGTCTGTCTACCAGTGAGGAGCGGTACGTTACACATGATCTTTGTGTAATCATATCTCCGGTGCAATATGTCACGATAATAAATTCAAACTCGTATGAATATGTCTATTACTTACAGTCAGCGGCGATCTGTTATGCTATTATATATTCAAATTTCATTGAGCAATATGATCGTTTATGAAGCTCGGATTCAACGATATTGTTTTTATTGATGATTTATGATACCACCAATCATTTATGTATGTTTAGACGTGCAAGCAATGTTAATTTGAGCGTAATCGATAATTCCAGCGTTTATTGTCAATATCCCCACATGGAATATGATGTATTCGTTGAGGACAATTATGAAAACTGTTCCGTGTTCTCCAATTGTCTTAGGATTGAAATTACAGAGATATTCAATATAAATTAAAAAAAATATGAAGATCAAAATAACAGTTATACAGATTCGTATCTCAAATGCTGTAGTTAAAGGCTTACTGATTTGAGCGTATTTCTATCGTAAAGCTGTGTCATTTTTGTCATTACATTAGATCAAAGCTTCGGCCAATTAGTGTGATTGTACTACGTCCTGGTATCTCTCTTTAAGGGATGGAAATCACACATCATAACTAGTGCACTATAATTGCACTATAATGTATAAAGGCTGATGGGCAAATCAATGACGTAGAAATCAAATTAACACTTTTGACATGTTGTTTTATAGCTGGCGCCAGTCATTGTTCGTCTGCGTCAGTTTCATTACAAGATGGTACGTATATCTAGAAAATAAAACAATATATATATAACAAATGTATCTCCATGCACATAGATAATAATGTTTCTTCTTAAAACCCTAGTGGTGCGGTCGACGTCATATGGCTGTTTACGGGTGTCCTGCTGTTGACGCCATATGGCGTCGAGATCATGTGCTTTGTAAGACCGGTGTTTATTCACCAATAACTTAATAAATGAGCGATCTTTAACACATATCTTGTAGCAATAGACAGTCTGTATTATCTCTACCTAAATGCAACTCTAGCCTGTGGAACGTTACGTATAAACAGAAAAGGTGTACCTCGCCAGCTGAAGGAAATGCGTGTTGCAAAAGGAGATATTTATACAATGAACAATTCTTCCCTTGTTCTTGTCCAATTCGCAAACAAAAAAGATGTGACATTGCTCACAACTGCACATGATGGTAAATTGTATTTAAAAATTGAATCAGAATGCAACAAAATGTTGATGATTAATCTGTGAAAATGTTCCCCTGCATGAGAAACTGTTATCATGGACAATGTGACTTAAACATACTAAAATGTATATCTCATGTATTTTACTATTTTATAAACACACATATATAAATAATTAACAAAAAAATACCCAAAAAAACTTGTACTTCTGGTCTACTACTTTTTGTTTTTTATATTCCACTGATACAAACCGATACATGTTTACATATGATCCATTAGGTTATATCAATTCTATTTTGTAACAATTGGACAAAATTACCAGGTTATGATATAAAGTCGATTAAGCTTATATATCTATGATTCTTCTCGGGTCCTCTGAATTTACAGGTGTGATGATGAATTCTGGCAAAGTAGGTGAAGATGGTCTACCGATATCATGAGTCATGTGTCATGAGCTACAACAAGTATATGGGTGCAGTAGACAGGTGTGACCAAATGGTCGTAAATGGTATATTTGAGAGAAGGACCCTCAAATGGTGGGAAAAGGTATTTGTCACACTATAGGCTTGGCTGTTGTCAACTCATACCTCCTGTACAAACACCAGACCCCAAATGCTGTACAACAGCGTACTTATAGACGTGAGCTGGTATCCCAACTGATACAGACTGCAGAGGTATCGGGACCCCAACAGAGAGGAAGGAAACGACCTGCTGCAGAGGTGATACAACGTCTTCATGGTCGCCACTTTCCATCTCATCTGCCTCCAACAGATAAAAGGCAATGTGCAAAACGGCGTTGTGTTGTTTGTGGTCCAGCAGAAATGGAAATTTTCAAATCCTCAAACCCTAGTGTACCAGTCCCTAATCGTAAAGGAAGGGAGATAACCTACCAGTGTAAACCTCGCAAAGTGCCACTTTGTGTGGACCCCTGCTTCGAGCTATTTCATACTAAAGCAGAATATCTATTGGCATATAAACGCAAGAAGGCAGCATCTGCTCTAGAGGATTAAATCATTGTTTTTAGACCAAACTACAAGTACAATTCACAGTGTAAATATGTTGACTGAAACTTTAATAATTATGAAATGGGAACATTGACATTTTTGATGCACGCTTTTATATTTGAATCGGATTCAATGATGGTATATACTGTATAAACAGAATAATCAGTCCGAAGGTAAGCACAAATACTTTGCGGTTGTGTTTCGATGGCCACCCTTGATTGTTTACAGTTTATTTGTTGTTGTTTGTAAAAAGGTACAATCTACAAAATCCCTTACTCCCTTTTTATCCTAAATCTTTGACACCCCTCTCTTGTCATAAACTTGTAATAAAACACATATTTTTCCATTTATTTAAAAAAAACATGAGTACACTTGTTCATAGTTGCGATGTTATGGCTAAAATTAATTTCAGCTACTTATAAATTGATGTTTGTTTAAATCCAATGCTGGATAATGAATGTAGCATTAGCACATGTTTGATAGTCATTATGGCAGCCATCTTGTTTCATACATCCATCTTCAACCTGTAAAAAACCCACCTAACAATATGTTTTAGATGGCTCTCGTGACATTTACTGGATGCGAAGACACTTCTAGTTTATATTTAAAGCCATTTAAAAATGTAACAATTCAGCACTTGGAGTATAGCCATATAGCGACCATTCAGCACCACAAGGGTTAGAAAACGAAGTAATATGATTGTTAGACAGTTAAGTGAGTGTCCTAATAATTATTCAAACTTAATTACCATATGCTTATTTCTGGAATGTCTTGGGGAACAGATTTAGCGTGCTCCTGAATGCAGCCGTATATAAGGCAATCAGTTTTAAGCCCGAAGTGGCAACATTTATACCAGGCGACTTATCTGGGGCCTAAGAGCATCGTTAGTCTGAAGCTGCTAATGTGATTATATGAGGCGAGTTATATGATAGCAAGAAGCGAGTTATATGAACCCTCTGTAACATCGTTCGTTTGAATCGACTTATGTTTGATCCTCGTTATAAGCCATGGATTTGCTGTAAAAGTTCATTGTGTGCATTCTATTATCACGCCGGGTCGTTTACCCATTTCTACCAAAAAACGGATGATTTGTTTATGCTGTTGATGGTTAAAATATTGGTAAAATCCAATCCAATCCACAATTACAGTAAAGCTACTGTGCAACCAGTTCAAACTTCAACAGTGCTCATCACTAAATGCCAAAAAAACTTTAGAGAACGCACATAAAATGCTGGGTTAGCGGACACACAATATTTTTCAATTTGGCCTTACTCATTTTCGTGGGTTTTTTAAATTCGTTGATTTCGTGGATAATCATCTTCAACGAATTCATTAGTCCTCGTAGTAATTACAAGTTTGACATAAAGCAATTCTCTATTTGAGTGGGTACTCGTAATCAATATCTTAGAAAATTATTTTGAAATTGTATACTTAAACCAAATCAATTGTATTTAGAAGAATTTAGGAATTTAGGAATCGATGACCTGCTTATTATTACAAGTAATCCGTACAAAGCCACCAACTTCGCTACATTTTCGTAACATGATTTTTTTTTGTCAAGTCAAGTCAGAAGATCATGTAAACAGTTTGGTACCACCTGTAATTTGGGCTAGTGTTGGCTGTATACGATAGGTTTGCATTAGTAAGGCGAAAACAAGTATTTCTCAGAGATGCAGTTAAACGATTGAATAAAGGGAGAAACATTTGATACATTTTGATAAACAAAATTCAGTTTCGAAACATAAGCATATAATATTAACTTTATATATAAATTTAATCATATATCTAAAACAAATTAAACAAATTAACAGGATATAAATGACTATTTTGAAAAGAATACGCCATATAGTTTGTCATAAGAGTACGCCATATAATGTCATAAGAAAACGTTCAAAAATATAGAAAACAATAAATTTGAAAGCAAAAGTTGTTACTGTTACTCAAAATGAAATAATCAAATGAAAAAGAGGCAAGGAGAAAATGAAGGATTTTAATTTACTGACCTATACAGCTTCACATTTACTTCTATGAAGGAGGAATCGGAGAGACAAAAATTGATCTGCTGCCCCAATTGCAGCACTTGGGGTCTTTTTCGTTACCTATCTTTTCTGTCTTATTTCTATTCTATCGACCTTTTGTTTCAGGCACCCATCATATAACCATGGCTGTTACAAGGACGTTCAACTCTAAACAAACAAACAAATACCTACCACATGTATATTTAA